AATAATTTGTAAATTGTTATTTTGTCATATCTTGCCCTGTCCGACGTCTCCCTTCACTCACTTTTTCTGTTGTCCAAAGACTTTTTTTGTGTGAGACTTTTTCTTGACATTTTTAGAATAGTGGTCTCATGCCCTTTTGTGATTGGCTACTTTAACTCAGTCTAATGCGCTCCAGGTTCACCAGTGTTTTGAGCTGTTTCACCAATTAGTTGTTATTCTTCAGCATTGCATAATATTCCATTGTGTGTGTGTACTCTTGTTTGCTTATCCATCTTTCCAATGGTGGGCATTTGGGTTGTTTCTGCCTTCTTGCTATCGTGATAAGGTCTAGGTGTGTGTGTGTGTGTGTGTGTGTGTGTGTGTGTGTGTGTGTGTGTGTGTACCTGTTCCTGTCACAGCTGTTATCTCTTTAGGATCTATATCCAGAGGTAGGATTGCTAGGTCCTGTGTTATTTCTTAAAGAACAGTTTCCCACAGTGGTTGTGCCTTTTTAGTTTCACCAACAGTGTATGAAGGGCTCCAATCTCTCCACACCTTTAACTTTGCTATTAATACTGGGATGAGAGATTCTCATAGTGGTATTGATTTGTGCCTTCCTAATGGCTAATAATTACAAGCATTTCTTCATGTGTTTGTTGGTCTCTGATAGGTGAGGTGTTTGTTCTACCAATTTTTAAAATATAAGTTTTGTCTTTTGGATGTTGAGGTATTGAAGTTTTCAATAATTTCTTTAGACTTGTCTCTGGTCCAATATGTCATTGCCACAAAATTTTCCCAGTTAGTAGACCTTCTTTCCATACTTTTGGTGAAATGCTCTGATGTGTGTAAGAATATAATTTTTAGGGGTTCCCAGTCATCTAATTTGTCTTCTACTGAGTGAGTGTTTTTAATTATGTTTGATAATGTATTTATGACAAATATGAGACCCTCTAATGTTGTCCCTATTTTGTCTTTGAAAATCTTTATGGCTTGAGGTCTTTGGTCTGTCTTGAGTTCATTTTTGTATACGATGTGAGATATGGGCTCTGTTTCATTTTCTCCAGATTTCCAGTTTTTCCAGCATCATTTGTTAAAAAGACTAGTCCACATTTTATGGATTTTGGCCCTTTGATAAAGATCATCTGGCCATAGATGAGTGGATTTCTAGGTTTTAAATCCTATTCCAATGGTCTGTTTTTCTGTGATTGTACCAGTATCAAGCTGTCCCCCACCCCCTACTGTGGGTATATAATAGGGTTTAAGATCAGACTGTGTGAGACTTCTTATTTTAATCTTCTTCTTTGGTAGTCCTTTGCTTACCTGAGGTCTCTCCTTTCTGTATAACATTTGGTTTCTGTTTTTTAATCAGGAAGTTCAATTTTTATTTGTTGGGTTCAAGTGAGGCAGCGCAGGGCTACCAAGGCCTTCAAGAATGCAGGGCCCGCCACTTGTCCAAGGGGCCACGGTTAGGGATGTATTTGACTCCACGGCTATCTGGGATGAGGCGCTTCTCAGCCACCCTATCCTCAAACTCATCAGCATTAAACTTGGTGAAGCCCCACTTCTTGGAGATGTGGGTCTTCTGGCGCCCAGGGAACTTGAACTTGGCCCTGCGTAAGGTCTCAATCACATGCTCCTTGTTTTGAAGCTTGGTGCGGATGGACATGATAACCTGGCCAATGTGGACTCTAGCCACCGTGCCTTGAGGTTTCCCAGAAGCACCTCGCATCCCAGTTTGGAGCCTAGTTTAGGGAGAGCAGAAATTAGCCAGGCCAGAGGCATTGAAAAGCAGCAAAAGGTTGTCTCCAAGGTCCCTTGGGGCAGCCTATATATACCAATAGGCTGCATAAACTACCGAGGAGGCTTGCTGTTTGCAGCCATTGCACACCGGCTCCCACAAGGAAGACGGCCGGCTTAATTGCCTGCAGTCTGTATAACATTTATGATTAGTTTTTCCATCTCTAATGAATGATGATGCATTCTGCATTGGGATCACATTTTACAGATCACATTAAGTAGTACTGACATTTTCACAATTTTGTCTCCCTATTCATGAGAATATTACGTTCTTCCATTGATGCAGGTAGCTCTTGGTTTCTTGTAGTAGTGTTCTGTGGTTGTTATGTGTGCATGTGTGTGGCTTTATATAACTGTCTAGATTTATTCCTAAGCATTTTATCTTTTCAGTAGTTTTTGTAAATTGTATTGCTTTTGGGTTTTGTTTTCTAAAGTTCTCCTTTCAGTGTAAAATAATCCACTTACGTTTTGTACCCTGCTACTTTGCTGAATCCTTCTGTAAGTTATCACAGTATTCATGTTGAGTCGCTGGGATTGTTCATATGTAGGATCATATCACCTGCAAGTAGAGATACTTCTTTGCCAATTGGGATACCTTTTATTTCCCTCCTTTGCCTTGTGGTTCGGACCAGAACGTCCAGTACAATATTGAGTAGGAGAGGTGATGAAGGGCTTCCTAGTCTGGTTCTCATTCGCAAGGGGAATGTTTTCAATCTCGGATAGTTGAGACTCATGTAGCCAGGGCTAGAAGGCAAAATGTCAGGCTGCCAGCCCAAGTCCTAAGAATATATCTACCTATATCTATGTATATTTATTAGACCACC